GGATCGGGGAGGGGCCCCACAAAACCCGTAGGAAGGCCGAGCCCCCAGGGCCCCACACAGGCTACGGGCCCAATCAAGCTAGAGTTGTTTTACCTCTGTCTCCAAAGGCAGACTAAATAAATTAATCCAGATAATGCTTGGCACCATGAGTTGCTGGTTTTAATTGCAGAACCTCAATGGTCTTTATCCCAGGGGCAAAGGTTTCTTATTTACAGGACACATTTGAGGTAGATCATCCATTACTTGAAAGTTCCATCTGAATCTACTGTCAGCCAATAAACATCTAAGCATCTGGATCTTGATGTTTTCACAATAAGATCAGCAAGAATGAGATTATATATATATATTTGCTTTTATTCAGTAGAATATTGAGACTCTTCATCTATATAGCAACCATTGCTAGTGCTTAAACAAGGAATGTAGGTAAGGATTTTATTCATTCATTTCCCTTTCTTCCATTTTTATATTTCCCACTATGAAAGCACATAAACTTTCAAGGAATTATCTTGTTTTAACCATAACTGTTTTTGCACTGCATTGAAGAACAAAAGAGCATCAGGTGTCATGCTAGATCAGATCAAAAGAACATCTAGTTGAGCATCCTGTTTCATGAAGAGGCCAGCTAGTTGCCCCAGAGGACCGATAGAAGCATTGGGGTTCTTTGATATCTTGGCTGTCAAAACTGAACAACATACAGGGCACTTTGAGTCCAAAGGTGTGGGTCAACAATGATAACATCAACATGAAAGTGACCAACACAATAGTATGGGATGTGAATGCCTGCACCTATAGCATACCCATCTGTTGTGCTAACTTTGTCCTATCTGTTCCTCCCAAAACACCACAACAATCAATCCAAAGAATGTCTGTTATCATGGGATGCTTATGCTACTAATAGCAATCTTTCTTGGAGCAGCACAAATATCTTACAATACTGTTGGTGCGGATAACCCATTACTTACCTTTTGCTTAATGTGCTTCCAGATAACCCTGCTTTTGGTAACCTCCAGATATAGGGTTTCTGTTTTTCAAGATTAGATCAATAGGTCTAAAAATATGATGATTATTTTGTTCAAAATGATGACTAGCACTGGTAATTTGACATATCAATATTTTCCAAATATGGCATATATTTGGATCCAGCCAGTTTTTCATCTAGTTATGCCCAGTTCTCCTCCTTCCTACAGCCTGCTGTCCTGTATAGCTTTGGTTAGAGAGCCAATTTGGTGTAGTGATTAGGAGTGTGGATTCTAATGTTGGGAAATGGAGTTTGATTCCCCAGTTCTCCACATGCAGTTGCTGGTGTAACCTTGGGTCAGTTACAAGTTATTTCAGAGCTGTTCTCTCACAAACAGTTCTTGAAAGAGCTCTCTCAGCTCCATTTACCTCACAGGGTGTCTGTTGTGGGGAGGAGAAGGGAAAGGAGATTGTAAGCCACTCTGAGACTCCTTCGAGTAGTGAGGGGTGGGATATAAATCTGATCTTCTTCTATGTAGGCCCACAATCTCTAGCAAAAGAAGAACACCCTGTCTCCCTTTCTCACAAACACAAAAGCTGGTTGGATCCCACTATTTCCAGGCATTCCAAAAAGAAATGGAGGGCAGGATTTCCTTTCTTCTTTTTTTGTAGCTGAGTTCAGCAAACATGAACATGTTAATAAACTGAGTTTGAAATACATTTTGTACAAGAACATTGTAACATTATTTTTTAAAAATCTAATGAAATATTCTAAACTTGAATAAGGGTGGTGGTGTTGGGGTGGTAGTCTTTCTTTTTTAAGTTGCACCCATTCCCAGCTCACCTCTCCTCCTAGCTGAGGTCACTCCAAATTCTACCTTGTAAATAATAATTTGTGACATAACCCAGCAAAATTTGCATTGGATTCTACAATTCCCTTCCAACAAATGATGAGCCTTTCTCCAAAGGATATCCTTGTTCCAAAAGTGCATCAAAACAACAGGTAGATCCTACCAGCTATTCCATTGACAAAAATGGGACAAGGGGGCTCTTTTGACCAGGTATCATGGGATGAAATATCATGAGACTCCTTTGGACAGGAACTGCAACAAGGAGTGCAACGAGGCAAGATCAAGCTGAAAAGCTGGTAGGATCCAACTCCAATATTCCTTCTTCCAGTTTATATTCTTCAGTGGTTTATATTCTCTGCTTTTTGTTCTTGGTTCTGTAGATTTGCATGCATTGTATAATATACAGAACAGTTTTATGCAAAGTTTAAATGCAATGTATATTATTTTTACCTAGAATAGTTGCTGATACTATGGCTGAGTTCAGACTGGCAGTTTGAAGCGGGAGGGAGTCGTGGCAAAAAAGAGCCGGAACAACTGTTCCGGGTTTTCCCATTCACACTGCAGAGACTGATGGGGGAGCATACCAGGAGGAGGGGCAAGGGAGCATTCACACTGTTGGCCCGGAGGCATGGCTGTAAGGCGCGGCTTTGTTTTTTTCTAATCTGGAGATATGCACTTATGTGCATAAGAAAAATGCAGCTTCTGGCATTCACAGTTTGTTGGTGCAGGATGGATGCAGGATAATCATGCTTTCCAGAGTTTGCTACCACTTTCACCAGGTATCTTTTAAACTCGGAAGCGAAGCATTACAAGACGGGTTGAGTACGGGTGGGGAATGCCTGACAGATGTGCCTGTGTGAATGGCCCATTTAATCTGGTTGTGGAACGTTTCTGAAACGTGCATATATCGGGGCAAACTCCCAGTCTGAACTCATCCTATGTGCTTGTAAAGTGTCATCAAGTCGTGGCTAATATGGCGACCCCAGCAAGGGGTTTTCAAGACAAGTGAGAAGTCATTGCCTTCTTCTGTAGTCTTCCAAGTACTAACCAGGACTGACCCTGCTTAGCTTCCATGCCACCTTCCATCCTGATACTAATCTACTGAAACAAAAAAATAATATTGAAAAAGGCCTATATTTTAAGGGGAAATTTTGGTGTAAGTCATACTGAAACAAAAAAATAATATTGAAAAATGCCTATATAAACCAAAATGGGCCAAAAAATAAAGAATCCAGAGTTCAGTCTGCATGAGACAGAAGAAACACGGAGATGCAAAATTCTAAATCATCCTTTCTACTAGATAGATTTTAAAAAAACCTCACTGAAATCCTCCCTCAAGATAGTATACTCTCTACATCTTGTTGGTGTCTAAGATGTTACTAGACTTGAATCTAGCTGTCCTGATTCCATGATATTTATAGTCCCTGATATTTGTGAACTTCCCTTTTTTGCCTACATACATGATTAGATAGGGTGAGATTCAAGCAGCTTCTTTTCTGGCAAAAAGGAAATGTGGGGTTCTACTTGACCAAGCAAGAAAGCTATCTGGTAGATCATGGTACCTGCATGGACTAAAGTGATGTGGGATGACCAAGGGACTTGAGTAAGGAACAGAATTGAGGGGAAACCTGGCTGCATATAAAGTGTTATCTTAGATCTTATTTGTAATACACTTGTGAAATTTCAGAGTGAAACCAGATTTGTTTATGCAAATGTGTTTTGCTTCCCCGTGATTTATGATGTTAGAATTTTATAAGCATTTGCAAGATTACTCTTGCTTTTAGGGAAGGAGTCTCACAACAACAGAAAGATCTGCCATGACACTTGTAACTCTATGAGCTTAATTTGTTCTCACCGAAATCCGTGATAATAAGAAGTGTTCAGGCTTGACCAGCATCATACAAACAAACTGACTTTGAAAACATGTAAATAGAATGCTTTCATTGTATCTAGGATGCCAGCAGCATGAGAGACATGGAAATCAGTAACTCCAGTATCACTACTGAGTTCATCTTGGTTGGTCTGTCCAGTGCTCCTGGATATCAGAGCCTCATCTTTTGGGCATTCATCTTCATCTATGCAGCAGCCTTGTCAGGAAACGTTCTCCTCATCCTTGCCATTGGCACCTGTAGCAAACTCCACACGCCAATGTATTTCCTGCTTGTCAACCTATCCTTGGTGAACGTATGCTCCATCTCCATCACAGTTCCCAAAATGCTGCAGAATGTTTTGACCCACAAGCGGTCCATCTCATTTTCTGGTTGCATCACTCAAGTGTTTCTTTTTGTATGGGCTCTGGGGACAGAGATTCTGTTGCTCTCATTTATGGCTTTTGACCGTTATGCTGCCATCTGTCAGCCTTTTCATTATTCAGTCATCATGAGAAAAGAGGTGTGCATTGGGGTAGCAGCAGGATTGTGGATTATGGGAATGGTCAATTCTGTAGTTAACACTGGTCTGTTGCTGAAACTCTCCTTCTGTTCCTCGAAAGTCATCAACCATTTCTTCTGTGACCTGCCTCCACTGTGGAAGCTCTCTTGCTCTGACATCAGCCTGAATGAAACCATGGCTTTTGCAGCTGATGTGACCTTCACAATGAGCAGTTGTGCACTCACTCTAATCTCATATTTACTTATTTTAAGAGCAATACTTAAAATCCAGTCTGTCCAAGGCAAGAAAAAAGCATTCTCTACATGTTCCTCTCATCTCCTGGTGGTGAGCTTTTACTTCTCTACCATCATCTACACATATGCTAAACCATCCTCAGCTAATTCCCTGGAGGAGTACAAGACGGTTGCAACCATTTACTCAGTGGTAACTCCAGTGCTCAATCCAATCATATATTCTCTTAGAAACAAAGATGTTAAAGAAGCTTTAGGAAAACTAATATGTAAATCTGGGGCTTCTCAGCAAGAATGACTTCCATGTACTCATTCCTTTAGATCACATAAGAGCTGAATAACAAATAAAAATGCAAAACTGCAATCCATTGTAAAAATAGATCGGTGAGTTGGCATAGACTATCAACTCAGATACATTGATTAACTGTAGTATCCATACTATTTTGAGGGAGAAGTATGTCTAGTTGGTTTTTTTAAAAAATGGCATATACTGGGAGCAATCCTTCAGTACTCATACCTTTTCAGTGGGAAATCAAAGCATGTGCTTAAAACTGTGTTCCAATCCTAATTACATTTGTTTGAAACCAAAATACTATTCAATCCAGACCAAAATTCTATTCAACCCAGACAAATATGACTTATTTGGGTATTAAAAACTTGATTTTAATACTATAAACATCACTACCATATTTAAATCAATTATAGAACAAGAACACATCTATGTGCAAAATAATGCCTGTGATTCCTATATGTAGCAGTACAGTTAATTTATTGACTGCACTTAACAGGCCTCTTAGCTGTGCCTTCTTTCCATCAGATGCAGATATTTATGGTAAGGGCACAGGACTTCTTTATAGTAGCAGGTCCAGGTTCTCCATGGCGATGTTAAGGCCTTAGTCTTAAGGCTATTTTGTTCCTAGAGTGTCATGCAGTCTTAAACAGACAAAGTAGTGCTGGGTGGAAATCATACTGAGTTACCCTTATTCTTGTAGGAAGAAAGAAAAGAGGCAGCTATTATTTGAAAATACAATAATAATAATAATAATAATAACCAATATTTGAACAAATGTTCCCTAGAACCAAACAGAACTAAGAGCCAGTTTGGTGTAGTGGTTAAGAGTGGTGAACTCTAATCTGGAGAACCAGGTTTGATTCCCCACTCCTCCATATGCAGCTAGCTGGATGACCTTGTGTCTGTCACATGCTCTCTCAGAGCTGTTCTCACAAGAGCAGTTCTCTCAGAGCTCTCTCAGCCCCACCTACCTCACATGGTGTCTGTTGTGGGGAAAGGAAGGGAAGGAGATTGTAAGCCGCTCTGAGACTCCGAGTGAAGAGTGGGGTATAAATCCAACTCTTCTTCTTCATCATCATGCAGGATCCTTAAAAGAAGAAGAGCATGTGTGGTGGGATACTATTCTGTGATGTCATGGTTCATTTTAATAAATGTGATTACACATATCTTTGTTAGAAGAATTTGATACCTCCCTGGTGCAAGCCAGTGTGGTGTATTAGTCAAATACTGGACTGGGGCTGTATAAAATTCACATTCAAATCCCTACACTTCCATGAAGTTCACTAGGTGACCTTGGTCCAATCACCCTCTCTCAGCCTAGCCTACCTCACAGGGTTGTTGCTTGAATAAAATGGGTAAGGAAGAACCATGTATGCATCCCCTGAGCTTCCCAGAGGAAGGGTGGAATAAAAATCAACTACATAGATACTTTTTTTTTTTACAAGAATACTCACTTTGGAGAGGATTCTTAATTCTTTCCATTAACCATGATTGATTAAGTTTGAGTCCAGTGGCACCTTTAAAGTGTTTAATTAAATGAGGAATAACTACTGCCTCCATGTCTTGCATGTAGGCTTCTCAGAAAAATGATAATCTGGCAGGCTAATAACAGATACTGAGCTGGACCCTTGGTCTGACCCAGCAGGGGTTTTCTTATGTATATATGTTCATGATCTAATAGAGGCATAAAGCACACATAAATCTATCTGGGCAGAGTTTCACTGCACATCTAATCCAAGATACAGTTAACAGATTTGCAAACCAGGTGTGTTTTCTTCAGTTTCTTATACTTTACTGCCACCATGAGTTCAGACTGATTCAATGCACTGGTTGCAATTATTCTTCCATCTCTTGTCCTGACGTTTACTCAAAATGGGAAGGAGAACAGTGCTCCCAAAAAGGAAAAGTGGACTGCCTTTGCATTATGTCTGAAGGACAAAACTGAATTCTGAAAAGGGCAGATGCTCAAATTTCCCTATCGTTTTTTCTTTGGCCTTTCTTTCCCAATAAGTCATGTGTCCAGTGCATATGCACAGGTGGTAAAAGATGTCACTGTTGTTTAACTAACAATATAGAAGGAAAAAATGTCTAGTAAAATAATACAGGTAAAATGTAAATGCAATTGTGTAACACACATGATGTGTTAGTTTTTGCATTTCCATTTTACCTGTAATATTTTACTAGACATTTTTTCCTTCTATATTTTTAGATACACAACACTAACATCTTTTACCACCTGTGCATATGCACTGCACACATGATTTATTCCTAAGAGGCCTCATAAACATTCTGGTCTTGTGTCTATTAATCTCACTTTGTAAGTAAGTAATATAGGGGTTTTCAACCAAATTATAATTCATCACATTGTGTTTTATGAACAGCATTTCTTTTTGGCCCAATACTGACATATTCTTTGCCAGTTCTTTGCAACATGAACCTATTTGCACCTCAATTTGATTGACCTCTGAAGAAGGCCTTATTAGGCCAAAACATGTTAAGTGACAATAACCGGTCCTTTTGTGTATGTTATTTGTACTTTGTAACGAGGCTTTCATTAGGCTCTCAATTTTTTTTAAACTTTTCTCAAAAGTTAAAAAGCATGCATTTTTACTTTTAACAAGTATATATGAGGTTTTAACTATTGGCCCCCTACTAGGTTTCTTTCTTACCTTTTAGGTTCTTGCTCCAAGAAGTTATTTTACATGTTTCTGGACATGACAGCATCCATTAGAATAGATGCTCCAAACTTTACCCAGATGATCTACCCAGTGATACAAAATCCCAGCTTCCTTCTGTAGAATTTTTGAAAAACGCTCTTCGATATATCTAATTGTCAACAGTCCCCTCTGCATACAGATACTTATTTCTGCAAACAGAGGGCACACTCTCCCCTAACAGGTTTTTCTACAGACTCAAGGGACTCTGTGGTCTGCAGAAATATCCAAAAAGTAAAAGAAAAAAGAAAAAACAGGGAGGGTTGAATACCCCTGCAATACCTTTCGAAATGGCTACCACAAGGATCTACTCCAGGCCCTGCCACATTGACAGTTTGAGACAGACTTGCTGATAGCCAGAGAGAGGGAGAGAGAGACATAGACAGAGAGGGGAGGAAGCACAAGCAGTATTGGAGCTGAGATGGGGGAAGATTCCTTCTGCGATGCTGATAGCCAGAGAGAGGGTGGTGCAGCAGTTAGAGGTTCAAAGTAGGGTCTGCAAGACCCAGGTTCAGACCCCCCTCTTGAGGTGCAAGCTGACTGGGTTATTTTGGACCAGTCACATACTTTTAGCCTAAACATCCATAGAGGGTTGTTGTGCAGTTAAAAAAGGAGGAGAGAATAATGTAAGCTGCTTTGCTCTCCACTGTGAAGAAAGACTAATTTTCCAAGGTCGAGGCTGTGGAGGAGGAAGGTGGAGACAGAAAGCTGAAGACAGACAGATAAAGATAATTTGGCTGTTGGGTGGGAAGGAAATAGAGTAGCCAACTCTGGTTTGGGAAATTCCTGGATATTCAAGGGGTGGAGCCTGGAGATGGTGGGATTTGAGGAGGGGAGGAACTTCAGACTGGTATAATACCATAGACTCCACCCTCCAAACCAGCCATTTCTTCCATGAGAGCTACCATTGCTAGTCTCCTGGTGAGGACTGGAGATCACCCAGAATTACAACTGCTGTCCAGGTGACAGAGATTAGTTCCCATGGATAATAGACTGCTTTGGAGGGTTGAGTCTATGGCAGTATACCCTGCTGAGGCTGCTTGCCTCCCCAAGCCTCACTGTCCCAAGGCTCCACCCCCAAATCTCCAGGAATTTCCCAACCTGAGGCTGGCAGCCCTAAGGTGAATTGATCTCTGCAGCTGGGAGATCTGTTGTGATTCCCAGAAAGATGCCACTGCTGCTGTAGGGAGAAAGGAAGCATGTGTGTGGCTGGGAGCACCACTACCACCACCGCTGCTGCTGCTATGTGGGGTAGGGTTAGGGTTGCCAAGTCCAAATTCGGAAATATCTGAGGACTTTGGAGGTGGAGCCAGGAGACTTTGGGGGTGGAGCCAGGAGACTTTTGTGATGTCACTTCCTGTTATGTCACTTCCTGTGATGTCACTTCCAGGTCAAATGGCAAGTTATGTCACTTCCCCTTCCGATGATGTCACTTCCAGTACACTGCACCAAAACCCCACCTAGCTAAGCATCATACCAGTAACTACCTCCTTAAAATCATTTCTCCGAAATGAACTTACTTGGAAGCCTAAGGCAACTCTAACTTTCAGGTTCAGCTTCTTTCTATGTAGGTTTTGTATATATGTAATAGCACCACTTGTATCAAAGCTGTAAAAATAAACAAAAAAACCTGTTCAATATTTTTTACTCATCATTTCTGCCTCCTGTGTTTGCATATGTTGGTGGTGTGTGTTTCAAGTGGGCTTCCTGTCAAATTTCATATCATATCAATACACTGCATCAATCCTTTCCATCATGCAGGGGGTCAGGCCAGGGTATGTGGACTCTATATGACCACATTGGGCACTTCTTATGATTTTAAATAAGACTGATTTTGCAAATTCCCTTAACAGAAGTTAGTTACGCTTTGGCTGATACAAGACCCTGAGAAGGAGTTCTTGCTCTGTAAATTTAATGTGTCAGTAGGCCATAAGGGTTCTACTGTGCTAGTTTGTTTTTAAATATGCAAGCCTATGCTTGAGTTACAGGATGTTCCATAAAAGTCATCCAAAATCTCACCACCATGAAAGAGAACAAGATCAACTTTGGAACTGCTCTGCTACATGCTACATCCTTAAGGCTCCACAACTTAGAGGGAGCACTGCTCCAGAGCAAACTGATTTATGCAGCAGCTAAATCGCTCCTCACAACTTTAATGCCAGTCGCTCACAAAGTAGAATTTTTGCTTACAAGACTCCACAGCATACAGGGAACATTGGATGTGAGCAGTGTTCCCTCTGAGCTGAGTTAGTGTGAGCTAGCTCACACTTTTTTAGCCTCCGGCTCACACAT